CAGACAGGCGCATTTTCTCAGTGATGGTGATTAGAAGATGCCATCAAGCTGAAAGGGCCTCCCAAGATTCTGGCCTTTAATGGAAATTCTGCTTTGGTACATACAGCCCCATTCCCTTTATCCCGCCGGCCCCGGCCTGGAAGAACAGGCAGTGCCTTCCATTCAAGGGCTATTGATTTCTCAGTGCTCCTCGGCTATTCACTCTCCAGCTGAACCCAGCAGAATCTCATCCAGCCCCAAACAGCCAGGGAAACAGAATTAGCAGAGCAGACTGTCCACTCGGAATGTTGCTGTTTCCACCCCAGTCTGCCCTGCCCTGCCCTGGCCTCAGAAACCACCAGCCAGAGGACCCCACAAGCTTGCAGAGGATTCCTGTTTCCCACCTCATTCTCTCTCTGCCCCAGCAGTGGAGGGAAGCTCTGACCTCTTCTCTAGGAGCTTGGGAAGCTGGCCCCTCACCTTGTCACCGCAGCCTGTGAGTCAGAGGGAGACAGGGTACGAGCATCGCAGGGGAAGAAGAGGGACCCTTGTTCCCTCCCCCCCGGGACCACTCCCAGCATTTGGACCAAGCCCTGCCAGCCCGGCCAGCCCTGAAACCACAGAGACTGAGCCTGAGTGAGAATAGTTTGCACAGTCGTAGGTCAAGTGGAAAGACAGCAAATGCAGGGTGACAGGGATGACCACACCCATCCCACTCATTGGCTTTTGATGGCATTTATTTTGTGAAGCCCCTGGTGACAGCTGGAGACTGTGCGAACCCAAGAGCCGCAAGAGTACTGAGGGGTGGATCCCCAGCCCTTGCACCAAGGGTCCAGAGGAACCAAGAAAGACCCCAGCAGGCCATCACAGGCCCAGGTTTGCCTAATGCAGGGAATGGCTTGGGGGTTCCAGTTGGCCCTCGGGCCCATGCCTGACCTGGGGGTTCTGCTAGTGCCTGCCCGCTCACCATCTGTTCCCCTTGCCATGTCGTCTTAGACCGTGATCTCCTTGGCCTTGTCTTCCTGTCTAGTGAAGGTTCTTAAGAGTCCAGGCACACAGTGACAGCCCAGTGCCAGGTACAGAGCCTGGCCCGCAGTAGACCCACAGTAAGTGTTTGTCGACTGACTGATCAAGGGACTGGCTGGGCTGTCCTGTAACCCCTGTCTTCCCATTGTGTCCTTGGGCAGGCAGGTTCAGGGGCTTCAGAGTCACTGAGGCCTGTGTCCCTTTGGTGGCACTTTGGGTAGGGGAAGGAACTGAGCCAAGGCCATGCACGAGAGCAAGTGATGAGTGGCCACCTCAGACTGTGGCCCTGGCAGTCTACAGGGAGGAGACTCGCCCTATGCTCCAGCCTCCCCACAGGCCTTCTGGAGACACTGAGTCATGGGCTCTGAAAGTTAGAAGGAACCTAGGAAACAGTTGAAACTTGCCTACCACTCCTTGTCAGAAGCAGCCCCTCTTGGCTTCTGAAGTGCTCGTCGAACTGACCTCCTGGTGGTGGTGTCCAAATTGCAGCCCTGGCTGGCCAGGCCCTATGGGTATCAGGTGTCTCCAGCCACATGGGTGCCCCCAGAATTCAGATCTCTGACATGGTAGCCCCCGCACAGCACGGCAACCTCCTGTCATTTCAAAGGAAGTCAGCAGGGTGAGTGAGTTGTTCCCAATTCTGGCTTTCAAAACTCCACAAAAGAAGGTGTTTTTCCCTGTGGAGTAATAAGCAACCCACACCAGCGCTCGTTAGCCTTTGAGACAGAGAGCTGGGGGCCTGCTGCTGCGGGGCAGGCTGGCTCTGTGTGGGGACCCGAAAGGGTTGGTCTGCTGACAGGGCAGGTAGGGGGTTCCCTGATAGGGGAGAATTCGGCTGTCTCCCCTGTCCTCCTTTCCTCCTCTTCCTCCTCTCTCCCTCTCCGCTCTCTCCCCCCTCTCTCCCCGTCTCCCTCCACCCCTCAACACACAGAGCCAGAATCCCCTCCTCTAATGAACCATGGGGTGAGTAGCTTCAGTCTGAACTGGGCTGAAACCCAGGAAGGTTCTGCGGGCACGTGTCCAATTCCCGCTGACCACCTGCCTTCTGGCTTCGCCCAGCTGGAGAGTCCCTTTGTCTGATTAAGTGGTTGAATTGGTAATGAGATTATTTTCCCTCTGCACCAGTGAGAGAAGCCTCTAGGTGATTGCGCTGGGGTGGGGGGGGGGGCAGGAGCACGACCACGTGGTGGCTAATGGGGAGGCTGATGCAGCGCCGGGCCTGGCCTCAGCGAGCCAGCAGGCGGCAGCAGGGTTTGGGCCAGGCCTTTTGCCCCTGTCCTGTTTGGCACACAAGGGGAGGCGAGAGCGCTTCCGTGAGCCATCATGAACGGCAGCCCAGGACGTGGGAGAAGCACCCTTGGGCTCACATAGGACCCACAGGGCAGTGCTGCATGTCGGTGTCGCTGGCACCACAGGACTGGGCACCATGATGACCTCCTCTGGTACTTATAAAAAGCCACACGACCTGGGACACCCTTCACAACAGGCAGAAATCGAGTGTCCTGACACTAAGCAGCAATTTTCAGCCACTGTTTCCTCCTGGTCACTGAAACCATTTGTCATTTCCTGTTTTCCCCATTTTCCAACGATTCTAATTGTCAGTGTCAAAAGGCAACAACTGTTTTCTTGGGGCTTATCTTTGGAGCACATTGATTCAGAACAAAGGATGGGCTCTCCGTCTGCAAAACAAAGGAAGTGGTCTCCAAGGGAGGCCTGGAGAGAATGGCCAGGCTCCCTCTGCCAGGGACAACACGACCAGAGTGGAAGCACAGGACTGGCTGGGCCCTGGGCACCCCAGTGGGGAGAAGAGCCCGTGGAGGACCCCCCGCCCCCGCCCTTGCTGGCACTCCCCACAGGCAGGCACAGGGGTTTGCAGAGCTGGCCACCAGCACTGTGGGCTGGGCAGGAGCATTGTTTGGCCTTGGCAGTCTCTCTACTGATGTCATGGCTGGCCAGATTTCCTACAACTCTGGACGCTCGAATTTGTGCCTCTGTGGGTGAAGACTAACATCCCGTTTGTCCCGTAGCCCCAGACTGGGAGTGAGCTGTCTCTCATCTGGCAGGCAGTACCCGGGCTCCACCCTCTGAGTCCTGCCCCAGCAGGCTTTTCTTTTTGTTTTCCACTGGCCCTGGGCGGACTTTCTCCGTACATCCTTCCCTGTGCACTTTTCTGCCCTCCCTGTCTTTTCTTTGGTCACACCCTCTGGCCTCCACCTCCCCACCTCTTGGCCCCGCCCCCCAACAACTGCAGAACTTGCTGAAGCTACTGGGCAGCCAGCCCGGATGGGGTTAGGCAGTGTGTGCACCAAGATGACCACGCTGCAGCCAGCTGTAGAGAGAGGCCGAGCGCTGCGTGTGCTGTTAGTGGCATTCCACTTCCTAGCCGTGTAGCTTTGGGCAAGTCATTTAAGCTCTGAGCTCAGACGCTTCATACCTGTGAGCTGGGGACTGTGAATCTACGCCAATTTCTGCAGGCCGGTGGAAGGGTCAAGGGGAGGAACGGAAGTGAAATGGTCACACACACACACACACACCCCCCAAACCTCCAGCAGGTCTGGATGGTGTGGCCTGGGGTGGTCATGTGACCACCACGCTCCTCTGTGTCCCCATGGGGCATTTCCAGATGATGGGAAATAACGGGTGTGAAGTGCTCAAGACAGTGAACCCTAGTACCTGCCTGAAGAGAGGAGCCCCAGGGGTCAGCTGAGAAACAGGCCCTGCACTCAGCCCAGCAGCAGCCCCCAGTTATGAGCAGCGGCAAGAGCTGGGACAGGAAGCAGCCCAAGCAGTCTGGTATAGTCTTCCCGGTTCTGTGTGTTTGTCCTCTCTGCCTCGGCAGAAACAGAGCCAGGAACCGCTGCCAGGCCGCAGGGCCAGGCACACTCCCAAGCGCTGGCCCTCCACCCTGCCCATCCCACGCCAGCCCCAGGGAGGCAGAGAAGCAGCCCCTATTGTAGGGTCACATCCTCTGGCCCCAGTGAGGGGGGACAGAAAGAGGGCCGAGAGTGTGTGCTCCCTGACAGCTGCCTTGGCAGTTGGCACACTAGCAGGCAGGCTTCTTCAGAAGGGCAGAGATGGCAGCAGGTGAATGGAGAGAGCAAGCCCCTGGCAGCCAGTCAGAGCTGGGTCGCAGTCACAACCAGCTGCGGCGTCCTTTCGCCTTGGGGTCTCCTGATTCTCTCCTGGCTACGCTGTCCCCCTTTGGCCCATGGGCTGGCCCCAGAATGAGTTCAGGGACTGTGGCCCTGCAGCTCAGCTCCTCCCCCTGACCCAGCCAGCTTCCAGCCAGGGACAGGAAGCCCCTCCCATCTGTCCTCCACAGCCAGTCAGAAGGAAGGGAAATTGGCAGTGATGTCTGGCTACTCTAGGTGTTGGGCAGTGTTTCCATCTGACCATGGGATTACGCAGCTGTCGGTGCCAGGACCACCCGGAACAGGCCTTGGTCACTTCCCCATGACAGCCTCAGCAAGAAGCCCAGAATCTTCGCCCCGGCTCGGCTCACTTAGCCATTTCATAGCATCCTCTGAACCCAGCCAGTTTGTCTGGGTCTCCCTGAGACTGGCATGCCCAGATTCCTGTTGGCACTGTGGGCAGAGTAGCATAGGACTGTCACCTCCCTCCTACATACTCTGCTTCTATTAATGTAGCCTAATGTTACATTTGTTCTTTTGGTGACCACATCTCACTGCTGACCCATCCTGAGCAGATGGACATCCAAAACGCCTCAGGCTTTCTCTGTGTGCTCTTGCTATTAAGCTCTCTCCCATCCTATGCTGCAGCAGTTGGTTTTTTTTAACCCAGGTGCAGAGCCCTACTTTTCTTTCTCCCTGTGGAATTTTGCTTGGGAGGGTGGAGCATGCATGCGAGTGTGTATTGGTGTGTTCACTCATGCTTTTGCTACACTAAAGCCGAGTCCCAGGTCCCCGCACAGTGATCCCAAGGCTAATATTTCTCGGTAGCTGCAATCTAACATGTGTTTTTCACCTTCTGTTTAGCAAGAGAAACAGAAATCAGGTCTTATGGCAATGACCCCTAAACAGCGAAGTGCGTATGTGGCCCAGCAGATGAGTCAAGTTCAAGGTAAGCGGTTAAGGCCAATGTTCTGTCCCACAGGGGCGAGCGAGGGGAAGCATACAGGGATGGGGGAAGAATTCCTTTCCAAATGAGCAGTTACTGCCTGTGTTTCTGAAAGTACTAAGCAGAGGCGAGGTCTGAAAGGTTTGGTCTGTCCCATTAAATAGAGTTCACCCACCCATCTCTAAGAGCAGGATCCCAGTTGGAGGCCTGGACTTAATGCTTCCAGAATCCTCTGATTCAAGAGATTGATTAAGCCGAGCCAGAGCCCTTCGAGCCATTCGTGTCAATGGCAGAGGGACAGGGACCTGGGGCTGCCACCCAGAGTTCCGATTCTGCCCTTCCTCAAACACAGATGGGGTGACCCACTTCTAGAGGGTGTTGGGGCCATGTGGAGTGAGGACTGGGGATGCTCCCAGGGACCCCATCTTACCAGGCAGCTATGGATGTAGCATCCCGTTTTTGGCTAGGGATACAGCAGGTAGCAAAGAGCCAGACATGGCCTCTGCTTCCTCCAGCTTGCAGACTACCCAGGGAGGGCTGAGTTAGGTGCTCCTTGCAAGGATGCTCATGGTGCCCTCCACACTTGTCCACTTGCCCTCAGACGGGTTTTAGCCCAATGCCACCTGCATAACATTGGTCCTCCTTTCTCCCCCAAACCCCCATCCCTTTGGGCCCGATACCAGCCGAGTTTCTGCCTCACATGTCCAGGCTGGCGTGGTGTGTCAGGCAGGCTGGGGCTGCAGGCTCAGAGTAGCTCAACACGACAGGCATGGGAGCCCCACATCCAGGCTCAGAGGCTGTGTCGGCTGCACCGAGAACAGAGCGGATCGAACACTGTCTTCACTCCCTCTCAGCACACTTGCCGGGAAACCGAGTCCAGCGGTGCCTCTCTAGTCTGAGCTGCTCGGCCATCTTCCCCAGCCCAACCCCCTCCCCTCTCTTCTTCCCTTCCTTCCTTTCCTTCTTTCCCTTCCTCTTCCCTTCCTTCCTTTCCTTCTTTCCCTTCCTCTTCCCTTCCTTCCTTTCTTCCAAAAACTGTTCAGTGCAGGGCCCTGCATACAGTCACTGAGTGCAAGGGCAGGCACAGCCTGGCCTCGCCGAGCCTCTGCTGTACCCAAGAATGCAGACAAAGCCCCGGCCTCCAGGCCAGCATAGCCCCCTTTGGGAAGGGTGCTGAACACAGACCTGGGAGGGCTGGGAAGGCTTCCCAGGGGAACCGCAGTGCACGCTAAGGGCAGAGAAACGAGGCGAGTTGAAGGGAGTTGGGGGCAGGGGTGCTCAATAGGGAGCCAAGGGACAGAGGTGACAAAAGGTCGATGCCTGACCCACAGCCCAAGCCAAGGATGCATTTGAAACTAATCCCCCATCTCTCTTCCCGTAGCCGTCCAAGAACAAGTCACCTCCAAGTGTAGCCAGACCAAGGCAAGCCCGTCATCCAGCCAGCACATGATGCCGCCCAGCCCCAGGCTCCTTCCCAACAATCTGACTGCAGGAGCAATCCCACCCACCAGGCACCAGAGCTGCGAGGGCATGGGCATGATCTCGCCAACTCCACGGAAGCAGCAAGGAACATTCAGCACCGGCTCCCACTTCCCCACGTCCTCTCGCCCCAGCAAGAAACCCCTGGGCAGTCTTGGCTCTGTCTGCCAGCATCCACAGAGTGCCAAGGCCGCCCTCCCAGGAGTGCTCCTGCCCAGGTTCTGTCCCAGCCCACTGGGCAGCCGGCCCCTGAGTCCCCACCAGCTCAGACAGCCCAGTGTGCCAAAAATGCCCACTCTGTTGAACAATGGCACATGGGTGGCATTGTCGGTGGCAGCTGTAACCACAGCAGTTTCAAGGGAACCATCCCCGAGCCAAGTAGATAACAGCAACTCCGGCTTTGCCAAGGCACCCATGAAAGTGCCCCCCATAGCCCAGGCATTTCCATCTCAGCAGGCAGTGGCACCCCCCGGGCACGTGAGCCCAGGAAGCAGGTCTGGCCAGAAGGGGAGCGGCACTACCCTGGCCAGCCCCAGCTTTGGCCTGCTGGGCAGCCAGAGCCTCCGGCAGAGCCCAGTGCGGGGCCCTGTGCCTGTGCTGAGCACCAAGTCCCTGCAGCAGGGCATGGCCCGCTTTGCTCCCATGAGTCCCATCCATGGCAGTGAACCACCAAGCTATGTGGCTGCTGCCACTGCTGCCTCAGCCATGGCTGCCAGCCAGTCCCTGGGTCCCTTCAACAGAATGGGGACCCCCCCTGAGCTGCCACCCAGCGACTTCTTGCCCCAGCAGCCACTAAATGGTCTGATTTCGCCACCTGACAACGGTGAGGTGGATTTCAGTGAAGCTCTCTTGAAAGGCTCCGGTGAGGGCCCGGATGAAGACTGGCTGTGTAACTTGAGGTTGATCGATGACATTCTGGAACAGCATGCTGCTGCCCAGAATACTCGCCAGCTCCCTAGGGTGCCAGGGGGCTTTAAATCAGAGCTGGGTGTCCTGGTGGCGTTCTAAGAGGGGCCTGAAGCCTCAGCAAATTCCCACACAGCCCAGACAGCCACACTCGGTCCTCATTACCGAGTGGCGTCGCCCTGCCCACCCCCCTCAAGACCTGAGATAAAATGGATGGAAAGCTGGTGATTTTTCAAGCTACTTGTACATATTTGAAAATTTTGTAAATGGTTTTCCTAAACGTTAATGACAGAAGTATTTATACTTGGTTTTGTGACTTTGTAAATAAAGTGACGGCTTTTGTTTCAGTAGAGTTGTGTTTATTCTGCTTTGTTTTGTGTTTATTCTACATTGTTACAAATACGCAGGTTGTGCTGTCCACCCCAGTGATACCTTGTGAAGCCAGGTGGCTGAGTCTCGCTGTGGTTTTGATGCCCTGAGAGATGTGGCTGTGGCCAATGCGTGTTGTGCAAACTGACGCACGCCAAATCGAAAACCGCTTGGTCACTGATTTCCATTCTCACTCCAAGCCCTATTGCCTGGTATGATGCTTAAGCTCTTTTGCAAACCTTTGCAGTCTCCAAAAGCGAGCTCTTCCTTAATGAGCATTCGCTGCAGTAGCGACTTCTTGTTAGTACATCCCCGAGACACCGCCACGAGGCTGAGGCTGTCTGTTAGATATGGGAGAGCTGCAGAGAAAGCGGGGAGCCGAGCAGTGTGTGAGCTGTCCCCTCCCTTTGGCATTCAGACAGGAGAGAGCAAGCCCAAGGCAGGGGAAGGTGAGCTGGTCCTGCTTTCAAGTCTCCCCGCTAGTCCTGACGGAAGGCTCTGTGGTTGGGGGAGTCTGTGAACATTAACAGTTGATTTGGAGTTTGTCTTTGATGGTTTCTATCTGCAATTTCTGTCATGTATATTTAAGTGTCTGTTGTAGAAAACCCACACCCACTGTCCTGTAAACTTTTCTCAGTGTCCAGACTTTGTGTAATCACATTTTAATTGCCACCTCGTATTTTGCCTCCACATTTGAGATCTGGCCTCTGTTTCGAGCCCGTGCATTTTGTTTTTCTTTGTTCTGTTAATAAACAGCCAGGAGAAAAGTGCCTCTATGTTTTCATTTTTCCAGGGAGCCTTCAGCACCTACAAAGCCGCGCCAGCTAAGCATGGTAGTGTCAATGCTTCCCCCCGAGGCTGCATGAGGTCTTGGGCAACAGAACGCTGCAGCCGCAGGGCAGAGGGACAACAATCTGGGTGGCACACGCTGCAGTAACTGACCACCAGAGCACAGGGTATTTTGCCCCCAGCCCTGAGTTTACATAGGGAATGGGCAGCCAATAAGGTCATTCCACGCTGGGGCGGGGACAGGGAGCTCAGACACAGCACCACCATTGTCTTGCCTTTGACAAAGACCACACTTGCCCATCTTTGGTCAGACCCTGCCACCCTTGAACAGAGACAGAATTGAGTTTGTTACTTTGTCAACTTGCTTCCTCGATGGGGGCCCAGCGATGTGGAGAGATTGTGCACACAAGGAACCGTGAATGAAAGCCTCTGGCCTCAATGGCGACATCCCATTCTTCCCAAGGACGGGACACTCGCAAAAGGGGAAAGGGGTGATCTGAGGCAAGTGACAGCTACCTGTGCTTCGTGGGGACAGCCACAAGACCTTGGACAGGCACCAGGCAGCTGAGCACCCGACAGGGTATGGAAAGAAGGGTCTTCTCCCCTTTCTTCGCCCTGCCTCAGCCCAAAGCCTGGGTAAAACTCACCCCTGCTCATTCTCAGTGGTGGAGCCAGGAGAACCCAGGGCGTGGGGGGTACAGGGAAAAGGTCGAAGATGGCTTCCCTTCAGGTACAGGATGCCAGAGGAAGGAGAGGTGTTGCCTGGGTTTGCCCCACCCCCTCCTGAAGATTCCTCACTCCCTGAAGATCCAGCCCCTTCAAACCCTGGCCTGCTGCCGCCCAGTCCTAGCAGTCCAGGAGCCCCAGCCAGCCCCTTCTTTCCCCCCATTCCGTCCCCTCTGTGTGGACAGAGTGAGTGGCCCAATTCCAGTCCAGATTGTTGCAGAAGCAACAGACACTCCAGTGTGCCTCACCCTTGGGCTGCCTCTATCTATCAGCACAACAAAGGGTCTTCCAAGGAGCTGCACTGACTTAGGCTTCTTCCCAAGGGACCCTAATAAGAAGGCTGGCACCTGTGCTTCTCCTATCAGGAGGCCAAGACCTGGCCAACAGACAGTAGGCATTCGCAGATAGACCCATATCTCCCCAAAGGTGGGTAGGAAAATATTTGGGACCCACACATACCCATGCCGTCATGGTGTGGCTGAAGCAACAGTCAGGACGAGATGTGATGAAAATGAGCCTGTCACGTCCAAGAGGAGCCTCAAATGTTCCCCGAAGAGGCCCACACCCAACACTCTCAAAGGCTGGGACAAAGAGTAAAGATTCCCAGGGTGCAGGGAGCCTCCCCATTCCCTTGGCCCAAGGGATCATGGGAACAGCCATTATGCCAAAGCCCTGGCTCTCAAGCTTCCACTCACACAGGCCCCTCCTACTTCCTCCTAAGCATGGGGCAAAGCATCATCCCACAGGTGTTCCTCAGCCAGCTACCACTCCCTATCAGTACTGACCCTCTGCCCCAAGTGCGCATCCACGCCAGGCCCCAGGCAGGCCCTAGCTTCCCCTCAGGGCCACATTGGAGCTCTGGTGCCCAGGTGTAGCAGCCCTTTCACTCAGGGGGCCCAGTGGCAGCAGGAGTTGGGCACTAGCAGCCCCACTGGCCCTCAGCACACCGTGCTTGGCCACCGCCACAGTGCCTGGTGCTCAGAACCTGCCGGGCATGTTCTGAACATGTCCCATGTTCTATCAAAGCCCTGCTCAGCCCTCCTGGTAGCTTCATGGGTCACAGCTCTGCCATCTTCAGAGGCTGAGAAGAAAGGCTGAGCTGAGCCTGCTGAGTCGCTTCTCCCTTCCATCCCCAGAAGGTCCAACCTCCAGGCTAAGCCGTTGGGCACCATGGCAGACAGGGTCCCTGGACACTGCCTGCCACCTGGCCCCAGAATAGCCCCACTACCTCCCTAGCACTGCTTGGCCTCCCACCCGGTGATGGATGTCCCGACTGTCCCAGCTGTCGCTCCCTGAAGATGCATGCTGCCCCCATTCTGCCCTTGCTGCTCCCCTCTCTTCTGCACTCTCTCCTTCCCCTTGCTGGATTCCTCCCAGGGCCACCCATCCAATGCCCTCCCTCTCCTTTCCCATCACTCCCAACCCAAAGCAATCTGCTCCAGCCTCAGATCCTCCCTCCCAAGTACTCTGGTCAAAATACCACCTTCCTCTTGGCCCCGAAGCCAGCGGAAGTGTGTCCATACTCAACACGCTCGCCTCTTCCACAGAAATATGCTGGGGGCCCACGGTGCCCTGGCACCCTTTTTCCCCTCTGGCCTGCAGCCTAGACCTCCCCCATTCTCTCCTACCTCTCTCCAAGATTTTGCTTCTTCCATTTTTACCTCTCACTTTCTCACTTGACTGGGGCTTCTTCATCCTCTCCCTGTCTTCTAGCTTCTTCTCTTTGCCAGGCAAATGGGTTCAGGAGCCTGCATCCCAGCATCCCTACATCCTTGCATCCTTTCATCCCAGCCTCCCAGGATCCCAGCATTCTCGGCATTCCTGCATCCCAGAATCAGTGCATCGCAGAATTCCAGCATCCCCGTCACCCCAAGCATCTCAGTCTCCTAGCCGTCCAGATTCCCAGCACCCCAGCATGCCAGTACCCCAAGCATCCCATCCTCAGCACCTCCTTGCATCCCAGCATCCCAGCATCCCCAACCTCCCAGCATCCCCAACCTCCCAGCATTCTAGCATCCCAGCATCACCACAGCCCTGCATCCCTGCATCTCAGCACTCCAGCATCCCAGCGTCTAGATAGCCCAGCTGAGACAAATATGGTACATCTGCTCAGGGCCTTAACTTTCACTCCCCAGGTGAATGCTGCTGAATCTGGGCCCCACGTTGGGCTAAAAAGTCCTCTCTACCTCTTGAAGAAAAGTGGAGTAGCTTGGAGACTGCCAGATGACCTCTGTGAAAGAGTCTACTATCATCCTGCCTTTGACAGCAGCTTGGTCCAGAGTACCATGTGGCCCCATCCTCGCTGCGAGTTCATTCCTGAGAGGACTGTGGAGCAGAAAGCACTGAACTCCCCATAGCTTCTAAGGAGCTACCCCTGGGTGCCTAAAGGCCTCCTCGTGGGAGAGGCAGAAAGAATCCCAACGGCTGGAAGAGGGAGGTATCCCTCCACAACCTATCCCATCATCCCCCTTCCCAGCCCTGAGGGTAACCGCCAGGGTAAGTGCAAGAGTCCCCAAGGAGGTATGTGACATGTCAGAGCCTTCCTTCTCCCTTACAGCAGGATCAGGTAGGTCCCTTGGGACCTTGGGGCCAAAGTTGGTGGGTAAGTTGTTATCTTCCTTATCCTACAGCCAGGAAAGCCAGGGGTCTGCACACCCAAAGACACATGCACAGTGGGCTGCCCTAGTGTGACGTAATCTTATGATTTAGCCAAAATGCATGTGCCAGGCAGTGAAGGTGGACTGATAGAATCCCCAGCCTCACAGAGTCATGCACCTGTGAGGATTACACCAAACAGAATCAGTAGGAGATATATACAAGGGCCGAGGATTTAGCTCAGTGGCACTGCGCCTGCCTTGCAAGCTCAAGGTCCTGAGTTTGATCCCTGGTACAAAAAAAAAAATGATATATACAAGTTGTGATCAAAACATATGGTAAATGTTCAAATTTTTAAAAAAAATATTACAGTAAAAGACACATTACCCATTGCCATTAATTCCCCTCAAAGTGCTCCCCTCACTTCAAACACACTTATCCTATCATTCTTGCCACTTTCTGAAGCACTTCTGGAAGTCCTCTTTCCTGAGTGTCTTTACTTGCACTGCTGTGGCTGCCTCGATGTTCGAATTGATTCGAAACATTGACCTTTCATAGTCATTTTGACTTTGGAGAAGAGCCAGAATTTGAAAGGTGCCAAATTGGGTGAATAAGGTGGATGAGGACACACACTATAATGTTTTTATGAGCCCGCCTTTCTGCTAGATGACACTTGGCAGCAACATTCACTGAATTTCTTATCACACCTTACAAAGACACTCATGAAAGAGACTCCAGAACTGCTTCAGAAAGTGGCAAGAACGATGGGATAAGTGTGTTCAAAGTGAGGAGGGGGATTTTGAGTGGAATTCATGGCAGTGTGGCTTTTACTGTAATAGATCTGCAAAATTTAAAAATTCCCCATATATTTCCATCGCACTTCATATGTAAAGGGAAGGGGGAGACTTGGCCACCAGGAAGGACAGGCTGGGGCTGATGTTACAGGGCACAGGCGGAATTTCTTCTTCCTCAGTGAAAACTCCATTTTGCTCTTGATGTCTTTGAACTGACTGGCTGAGGTCCACTCCCGTTTTCCAGCATAATCTCTCTTACTTAAATTCAACTGATTGCAGATACTAACCACAGCCACAAAATACCTTCACAGCAAGAGACTAGGATGTGGCTGATGAACTGCCCAGTAGTGCCTATACAAGCTGATATTTAGAACTACTCCTCAAAAGGGCACAGGTGATATGAGCACATTAGGAAACAGAACAGTAATAAGCTGTGTTAAGGTCTATGAAGGAGACGTCAAAGACTCGGGGACAGGGAGAAATGGAAAGACCCCAGTTTGGTGGGGCCGATGGGATGTGCAGAGTAGTCTACTTTACATGGGGTACTCAGGAAAGAAATCACTGAAGGAGGGACATTTGAGCAGAGATTTAAGGCTAAGAAAAAGCCAGCCATGGGAAGGGCTAGGGCTGAAGTGTTCCAGGCAGAGGGAGCCACAAGTGGGAATCCCAGGAGGGATGGGAAGGCGGCTGGTGGCAGGGGCTATGAACCGCAGGACAGGAAGCAAGACAGCGGTGAGGCAGTGGGTAGGCCCAGGCCACACAGGAGCCTGGAATCTGCCGGGACTGCCCAGGTAGCTGTGGGTCACATCAGTGTCCGTGTGGGTAGGAAATGGGTAGAGGCACACATGGGATGGAAGTATGAGAAG